CTATAGTTGGCTAACACCTCTGGATCCAGGGTGGGCTTTTTTAGGAGAGGTTTAATTACAGCTACCTTAAAAGACTGTGGTACATAGCCTGTTAATAGGGATATATTGATCATATCTAATATATGAGTGTTAACTAAAGGAAAGACCTCCTTAAGTAGCCTAGTTGGGATGGGGTCTAAGAGACACGTTGATGATTTAGATGAAGAAATCACTGCGGTCAATTCTTGAAGAGAAATTGGGGAGAAGCAATCTAAATATATATTAGATTCTACAGCTGTGTTTGAGGTTAGATAGGTAGGCCTACCATCTGAGGGCAGGAGGTCATGAATTTTGCCTCTAATAGTTAGAATTTTGTCATTAAAAAAGCTCATAAAATCATTACTGCTAAGGGCTAAAGGAATACAAGGCTCAATAGAGCTTTGACTCTCAGTCAGCCTGGCTACAGTGCTGAAAAGAAACCTGGGGTTGTTCTTGTTTTCTTCTATTAATGCTGAGTAATAGTTTGCTCTGGCATTGCGGAGGCCCCTCTTATAAGTTTTGAGACTGTCTGTCCAGATTAAACGAGATTCTTCCAGTTTGGTTAATCGCCAATTCCTTTCAAATTTTCGCGATATTTGTTTTAACCTACGGGTTTGAGAGTTATACCAAGGAGCAAACTTTCTTTGCTTTGTTAACTTCTTTTTAAGAGGAGCTACAGAGTCGAGCGTTGTTCGCAGCGAGCCTACGGCGCTATCAACAAAATGATCAATTTGGGAGAGGTTAAAGTCGGCACGGGAAACCTCTGTTACTGAAGGTATTGGTATTGAATTTAACGACGAAGTAATCTTTTCCTTAAATTTTGTGACAGCACTATCTGATAAACATCTAGTATAGTAACTGTTGCTGAGTGGCGTGTAATCGAGTAAAAAGAAATCAAAAGTAATCAGATAATGATCTGATAGCAAGGGATTCTGTGGAAAGACTTTTAGGTTATCAATTTCAATTCCATACGTCAGAACTAGATCGAGGGTATGGTTAAAACAGTGAGTGGGTTCATGTACACCCTGACTGAAGCCAATGGAGTCTATTAATGAGATAATGAGTATATCACACTGCTTTTTTCACATGAGCAAGTCATGTATTTATCTCCTGTTTTATTCAGTGTGTATTACTGCAGAAGGGTTCCTCATTATCAGAAATGTTGGCGTTGTACATTTCTGCAAATGATGAAAGCGTCACATTTGTACCTTTTAAACATATCATATGAAGGTTTGTAAAGTGATGTAATTTGTAAGGTGACTTTGTCATCAGGAGGTGGAGTGGCTGGTGCATGGCGTGTCATCTGGGTGAGAAGCTTGCCAAGATGCAGACCACTGTTCACCAACAAACAACAAACCAGTTGTGATTTAGTGAGACATTGCTGTTTTTCCAGAAGCTTTTTAGGCACAAAGGCATTTTTTTTTACAGAGACATTGCTGCTTTTCCTGTTCCCTCAAAACCAGGTATTTTAAGCTGAAACATGATCTTTTCCTAACCATAACCAAGTGTTTTTTGTGCCTAAACCTAACCACACATAAACGACAGGGTGTACTGTCTACATAATAACGTGCAAATGTAACATATCTGAGATTTGCATCCAACAGTGCAATCATATCATCCTTGTGATTGAGTTGCCCTTATTGTACCTGTAAGCCCAGGTCCATTCATACACTGTATGTAGATCTACCTGAAGTGGTCATGAGGAATCATCTCAAGTGTTTCCTAATGAAACAAATATGTTTCTACTCGATGCCTCCACTATCATTACAATCACTTCAGTAGCACGCACCAATTTGAAGCCACCTTACAGGGAGTATATTCAACTATAGACGCTGAGGAACAACTCATTACCTCAGCACTACAGTCAAGAGCACTGGTAAATGCAGTGTGACAGCATGGAGACCGTGCCAAGTGGAGCACTACCCACCTTAAATTGCAGTGTGTGTTTTACTAAGGGATTGCGTTTAGCACCAAGTATGATTCTTCTGCTGCTTAATTAATCCCTTCAGGGACGGAATAAAACACCCAACAAGATAAGAGCAATTAAAACAGGATGTTTTTTTTTTTCAGATCCTCCTCCGTTTTACATCATTAATTATACAAGGTTAGTGTTCCCTGTGTCTCACACAGGGTGATGTGCAGCCACAGTGCCTGGGGAGGCGTACCCCTCTTCTCCACCAGAGAGGGCACAGGAACAATGTCAAACATACCATCATGGGAATACAGAATTATGCAAAGACATTTATCCTCGTCCTGCGTGCAGCACTGCTGTATTTGTCTCGTGTGGTAATACAAGGGGAGTAATTTTCCACAAAATCTGGTTCAATTGAGACAATATATAATGATTTAGTGGAGCAGGATGTGAAATAAGCCCCACACAATGGGTTTCTATCCACCATTGTGCCGCTTATTGCAGCACACAAATCAATCTGTTTTATTATTTCTGACACATCATCATTTCCATGACCCTTTCTTTTTCACCTCCCAGCACTCAGCACTGTGTGCGGGGCAGAGGGGAGGGCAATGGTGTCAGTGACCTTTTAACCCCCAGGCACGCCGAGGGCCTTCTAAAAGCCAGGCTGGGAGTCACGTGACCAGCGGAGACACAAGCAGCTGGAGTGGAAAAGCTCAAGCTTAACGACTCAAGCCTAATTCCCTTCTCTCCAGACGCTCATGTGGGTCTGAGAGCTCAGGTCTCATCTCAGCAGTAAAACAAGCCTGATGATTCGAGTATGTTCAGACAGGCTTGTGTTTGCGTCATCTCATCAACAGTGAACCAGTTTTGCCTAAACAATTCTGTGTCACTTCACATTACAAGATTCTTTCTTTGGGTACAAATATTAAGAGGTAGGGTCGACTGGGTCTGTCCACTGCTTTGATCCAGACAGAAATATCTCAACAACTAGTGGATGGACTGTCATGAAATTCATGCTGCCCAGAGGATGAGGCAAACCCATTTTGGTAAACTTCAGACTTTAACTTTAGCGCCACCATGAGGTTGACATTTTTGATTTTTAGTGAAGCATCTCAACAACCACTTGACACATTGCAATTTTATATGGCCAATCACGATCACTACAGAGTGAATCCTAATTACTTGATCCCTAATGACTTGATTGATTATGATCCCTTTCATCAGTGGCGATACTTCATATGTCAAGTTTTTTTTTTGTTAAAACTTAGAGAGGTGAGATCATTAGGACATGAATTTACGTGACAGACCATTGCACCCAATTATTTTCTTCTCTGGCAAACAGAGCACAGCTAAACAGGATCTCTACAGGAAGTTTCTGTTTTGTTCACAGGTATCAGGTTTGGTTTCTTTCATATAATTTCCATAAACAGCTTTGGCTCTCAGTGTCTGCCTACAATGAACAGAAAATCACCAATTTTCACTGTAAAAAAACAAACGAAAAACAGGTTTTTATATTCAGAGGAAAATCCAAAAACGGTATCTACTGAACCAAAGTAAATTCTACTCTTGCAGGATATAAAAACCGTTTTGTTATTTGAACATTAAATGGACACTCTAGCAATTCAGAATTTCCATTCCATGATGTTGAAGGACATGAGAGCATCAGATTCAAACATGAATGGTCAAAATTAGGAGCAGCAGAAGCTCAGTGACTTCACTTTTAGTCCCTATTATGGGCAGAGCTAAAAAAAAATACCAGGTCCTACGTTTTCCACAATGCAACACAACAGCACCTGTCCTTTCCAATAAAGGCAAACCCCACAAAATAATCTTTAAAACAAACAAACAAACAAAAAAAAAAACTCATGCCAGTTCACACTGCAAGTGTTCTGTCAAATATTTGAGGTCTTAAGTCTACTGCTGCCTTCAAATGGGGTTGTGTTCACCGTGATTGTAAGAGTCCATATGAATGTTTGCTGATGTTTTCAGAAATGGCAGAAGCCATAATAGTTCATTTTTCAGTGGATGGTAAAATATTGTAATACTACACGTTGGAGTTTTCTTCATAGTTTTCCAATATGAGAAAACTGAATATCCCCAATGGCCTCATCTTTGTCCTGTCATTAAGCCTTTGTACTTTCTGCATTATGTGACCCCCTCACTAGCTTGCTAAACTGTTAGCCTTTAGCCTTTGTGATTTCTTTTTTTTTTTAAGATATTTTTGGGGCATTTTTGCCTTTAATCAATAAATGTGAAAGAGGGAGAGAGAGGTAATGACATGCAGCAAAGGGCTGGAGTCAAGCCCGGGCTGCTGCAGCAACAGCCTTGTACATGGGGCGCTTGCTCTATCCACTAGGCCACCGACGCCCCAGCCTCAGTGGTTTCTAGTCACCAACAGTTGCGTCTACGTTGCCACTGTCTAGCAGCGGTGCTCTCACAACTTAACCACTTGAACCTTAATCATATCATGAACAAAGCTCCCCATGTGGATAAGACAAGCTCAAGAGTTCTGTTTGAATGCAGCATAACCCTTATTTGAAACTTTTCAAATAAAACACACTGAGCCTTGAAAGCATTGTCTTGTACCTTTTTAAACCCTCCTGCAAAATCTTGGTTATACAGCCAATTTTCATTGAATTTCAGTCATTCAGAGAACAGTGACAACTAGCTAGCAGAGGGCAGATTCCTTTGAGCATCCCATCTGGAAATAGAATATGAGTGTTTTTGGTTCTGCTATCCTGATCTGCTCACCATTACTGAGAGAGGTATTTAGGATATTTTTTTTTAAAAAAAAAAAATAGATGTTACCCATAATTTCAAGATTTTACAATGCCAGAAAGAAACAACACAAAATTCTTCTTTGCATATTTTTGCATTTTTAAGACTTTAGAAAGATTGATTTCAGACATTTTAATACCAATTAAGGCCTTATTTTTTGATAAATGAATTCAATGCCTTTTAAGACTTTTTAAGGAACTGCAGGAACTCTAGAGAGCTCCAAGAGCTCTTACACAGTGGTTTGTGCCCTTTTAAATGAAGGACAGACCCACACTGACACAAACACATATTACCACAAGGAGAGAAATAAAATGTTTATTTTACCATCTGTTTTTTTCTTTGCACACTAATAATAAACGTCAGCAGAGTCCTCTGGGTGGTAAACATCCCCAAAACACAACAAATACAACAAATAGTGTTTCCATTGGGTTCACCCAGTAACATTTTGGAATCAATGTAGTGATAAAAAAGATTCAAAATTTAATCTGATTCACACAACAAAAAAAAAATGTAACAAAAAAAGTTAAAGTAACGTGTAACAGATGAATGAGTCCCTCCTCCGGTCGCCACGTGAGCTTAATAACATTTTCCAAGTAGAGAGAAGCTGGAGTGGACGAGAGTCTGGAGGTTCATGCACCATCACTTAGTGTTGTTACAGTCGGGGGTTAGAGAGCGGCTCTACAGAGTCTTTATATGCTTTGAAGCAGGTCTACAAAATATTTCATTCACTTTATGGTAGATGTGGTAAAAATGGAGCACAGCAGACACAGTTCACAGAAAGCACTGTGTCATGCCTTTGGACTTCTGACCGAGCTCTCCTTTCAACAATCACTTAGTATTTTCATTTACAACAGAAGACATACATGGAATGGAGAAAGTACAAAAAAAAAAAAGACAGACCATACGTTTCAGAAAGGCATAGTATTAAAAAATGAGCAAAGGAAATCTGAATGGTAAATTCTATGACTTGGGACAGCACATTTTCTGTCTGTATACTTTACCTTCTTACTCGTACCGGCAAGACATTTTTCAGAAAAATATTTTTTTGGTCCTGTGTGAGTGTTTTTGTTTCAAGGATGGTCTGCACAGTAAAGTCTGTGCTCCAGCGTTCAGGTATGATGTGCTTCTCTTCCAGCTCTTTTCCCTGCATAGTGAGCTCTTTTTTTATTCACAGTTTGAGTCTAAACTCATTGTTAGTGTTGGGTGGATGCTGCTGAATAGGCTCCTTCATTCTGGGGTGAAGGGACTTAAAGCAGACACCTTCTGTTTTCCAGATTATCTCAACAACAAAGCCTGAGCTACTTTTGTTGCGTTGCTCAGGCTGGACATTTTACACATTAGAACAACATATATAATGATGTTGTTAAATAAAACATGAGAAAAATATATAGATTTTTATCTCTTGTGTTTTTTTTTTTTAAAGGCTAGTGTTATGATTCTTTCCTCTACAGAAGGGGTGTTGCGACAAAGCTAAATCCAAAATGACTTTATGATGATTAAGTCGTCACTTTTGTCCGACTGTGGCTTGAAGCTAAAAAGGCCTTGTCTAACATTTATAGTAGAATCATATATATACAAATAAAATATGCATTGAAAACACTCCACCAGCTGGAAGGAGAGGATGTTCAGTTTATCTGTTTGGGGCCATGCCTCATCCCCCGCCCCCGATGTACAGCAACCTTGGAAGAACTTTGTAGCCGCGTTGGCTACCGATAAAGAGGCCCCGATGAGAAAATCGATATCAGTGCAGATTTACATGATATAAAAATAAGTAAGAAAGAAGGTAGGCTTAAGGGCAAGTGGTTATAAATGGCAGAGTGTGAGACTGGTTTTGGCAAATAAGCGTTCTACTGTGCATGTGCGGCCCTCGAACAGAAGGTTGATGTCGCCTGGGTTGTCTCGTAACCATGCAGCTTGAAGACACGGAGACGCCACGTAACACGTGCATGAGAGAGAGAGAGAGTGTGTGTGTGTGTGTGTGTGTGTGTGTGTGTGTGTGAGAGAGAGTGGGTGGTGTGGATGAGCACAGACGCTGCGTCCTCACACACACTCCTCCGCTGACATCAGGAGTGGATTGATGTACTCAAATCCTTCAAACTCAGACTGGTCGATTTTCTTGACCACATCACTACGATAAAGAAAAGAAAATTGGCATCAATTATATATAGTTAAAGAGCATATAATATTAAAAACTACATGCTGTCTTAATTTTTTTTTAAATACGATGAAAGAGAGGGATAATAAAACAAGGACTCACTCGTCATCAGGCGTGAGCTGGATGGGCTCGTTGGTGAACTGGGCGTCGAAGTTGTCCAGTCCAAATTCCCCTGAGATATTGGGCTTGAAAGGAGGGACCACCTGCTTCTGCTCCAGCTGAAACAACAACACATGAATCAGGTGAGATCATGGCAACTTTTGTAGGACTGTACCCAACTCAGGATTACGTCAGTCAAACCAAAGTCAGCTGCTCAATAAGAATATTTGCCTATTGGTTCCTTTGTTTTTCCATGCAGAGTTTGGACAGAGTTCAGCGGAACATTCAGGGTGACAGTGATGTAATATAGTAAACAAGCACTCTGAGCTAAAGCATGTTAACTACACTATCAAACAAAAGCCAGAGACTGTAGTAAATTAAGTTGCTGGGAGCTGTAAATTCACCACTTCTAAGCAGAAGGCTGTAGAAAACGTTATCATGGAGCCTGATCAGGCAGAGCCTCTACGTCTGGGTCTGCAGCTGCCTGTATTGTAGAGCAGCGCGAAAGCAAGGAGCGCTTACTCTGCAGCTAAATCTGGGAACTGAAACCTCCCCAGAAGTACAGTGCACACTGACTGACAAAATAAAAATGAACGACTGCTCGACTTGAAGAACCTCAGTTGATTGAGGGGTCTCTGACTGATGAGACTTTTAGGTGGCAGCTCTAAAATGTATTTGTCTTTTCTGACATCAATAACTCATGTAATCACTCTCTGATTATGTAAACTGTAGAGTAACATTGACAGTTATTGATCACAAGACAATTCATCTGCAAGTACTCTGATGACCCATTAATAATTGAAGGTATTTTCCAACAAAAATGTCAAGAATTTTCTGGTTCAAGCTTCTCCAAAGTAAGGATTTGCTGTTGTTCCTTGTCAGATGATTAAGTCAATGTAATATCCTTAGAGTTTGGACTGCTGGTCAGAAAGAACAAGCAATTTGGAGACATCATATTGTGCTCTGGAAAGTTGTGATGATAACTTTTAACATTTTATCGACTAAATGATTAATGAAAACAAACTGTAATAATAATTGCTGCAGTCCCAGATTGAGAGTTAAACTGTAATCTGTTCTAGAGCCAGGCCTATCATTTATGTAAAAGGCACTGAAAGGGAAACTCACATAAAGACTCTAAAATCTCTTTGGTCATCATCCCATCACAGATTTCTATCCTGTTTCCATTATTAAATACTACAGCTGAGTGCCCATTGTGCCATTTAAAACAGTGACTAAAATCTTGATGACGCACTTGTACTAAGCAGCTCTGATTACATTCCTCACAGTGTGGAGGTAACACACAGTCCCTCATCTGTTTCATAGCTGTTACACTACGTGTCTGTAAGAATGCTCCCCCTGCAGGCTAATGGGTGCACTGCAGGGCAAACTTTCAGGTTAGTGTGTGTGTGTGTGTGTGTGTGTGTGCATGTGACAGGGGAGGAGGGAGGGGTGTAAGCTGATCCCTCCAGACACTCTGACCGACTGGTGGGTCCCTGCTCCAGACTAAACAGGGAAAAAGAGGTCATGGTGATCCCTTGCGAGCTGCCCTGCCCTGCCCTGTCTGTGTGTCTGTCTGTCTGTCTGGCATGACATCCAGCAGTGCACGTCTGACTGTCTGTTCACTTGTAAAGGTCATGTCTGTCTTCCTGAAGAGATTAAAACATGTCTGATCATTTACACGTCTACAGAGTTTGAGTTTAAACTTTTTTTCTTCAAAGACTTTAGGCAAAATATTTATATATTGATATAAAGAAGTTTAAATTTGAAACTGAACCATAAAGCTGCCCGTTCGACTGTGTTCATTGGAAAATAAAATAAAATAGAAAGAGTTGATACGACACCATGTTTTTCTTTTGTCTATGTTTGCATTTTTAAATGTTTCTAGGTTATCAGACCAATATGTAGCATATTGCTCTGATAAGTAAAACACTAGTGTTATCCTCTTCCTGTTTTGGTTATGCAGTGGTTGACGCTGGGCGATGAAACGATCTCAAACGAAGACGATGATAAACTATAGTCATTTTTACTCGATATGGATAGACCTAGATAGATCCAAACAGTGTGTCATGCAGCAGAAGTTAACAGACAGCTGTCCGTCAATCCGCAGTGTTGGGGATGCGCGTCATTGTACACGCCCTTTTTTCACTGTAAAGTTTGTGCTGAGGTGAGTGAGCCAAGGTGAGGAGGAATTAGCTGCACCAAAACAGCAATCAATAGTGTGCTCTTTTGCCGCTGTAACCCCTTATGAGAAGCGATTGAAAAGGAGCAGAGATATAACAGACGCAGTGTCATACTCGCTAACCAAAGACACGATGCCCATGAGCACCGCGGAGAGAGACGGGTTCAAGAAATTAATTAAAGTGCTAGACTGTAGGTGGGAGCTCCCAGGCAGGAAATATTTTTCTCAAACTGCTCTGCCCCAGCTGTACGACAAGTGCCGTGGGGCGCTGGAAAATCATTTGGTTTCTCCAGGTGTCAGACATTATCAGGATACTTTTCAAACATGCAGCATTATCAAACTGTTTGTGATAAACACTGATATCAATCAATACAGGGAAAATTATCAGGATAATATTTTCTGCCATATCGCCCAGCCCTAGTTGACGCACTTCCTTTGTGCTATAAATGGAGCCCTTATTTTCTTGGGAGATCTTACCCAGTGAAAGAATAAGAGGAAGACATATCTTTATCAGTCCCAAAGGGTAAATTTAACTTTTTCACTCTCTTGTTATTGCACAGTTTTCATACATAGGCAAAGAATACACGAGATGAGAGATGTCAGAAGAGGGGCTGCCCATGGACAGGCACCCCATACAGTTGGGGATTCAGTGACTTGCTCAAAGGCAATTTGGCAGTGCCTAGTAGGTGATCTGGCACCTCTCAACCTATTAGTTCACACTCTATACCTGCTCCGTACAGGGATTTGAACTGATGACCCTTCATTTTCCAAGCTCAAAGTCCCCACAGACTGAGCTACTGCCACGCCAATGACACCCCCCACCCTGAGGCTTACAGGGAACCTATATGATGATGATGGTGCTGATGGTGTCATTATTCTACAGCCATGACATTGTGCAATCAACATTTCCTTCATAACGACAAGTTAAGGCAAAAAAACCTGTCTGTTTCCACTCAAACAATAAAGTGGAATAAAGATTTATTAATGGCTTCCTTATGACAATGGATAATTGTTTCACAATCTAATAGTTTAATGGATTTCTCTGTCAGACAAATGAAAAGGAAATGTTTATCTGTAACCCCACATTTCACCTCTACAGTATGCTCTTCTGTCTTGTCAGTCAATGAGCCCTCTCCACTCATTTTCTTTCCATCTTAGGCTTTCCGTCTCAGTCATTCTGTTACTCAGCCTATCTGCTGTTGTCAGTCCTCTGCCCCGCTTGTTCTTCAGTCCTGTCTATCTTGCCTGCTTTCCACAAGGACATGAGGCTCATGGCTTTGCTAATAACCCTCAGCTTTGACAGAGCTGCTATGCCCGCAGGGCAGGAGAGAAAGAGGATGACCCCTTGCATTTAGATTTGACCTTCTGCTGTCTAGTAGCAGCTTTCTGTTTTTCCTTCTCTCTGCAATCGATATATGGATTGATTTTGACCTGTTTGGCAACCGGGTATGCACTGGTACCTTCATTTGAAATTATGATTAAAATCGTGATCATGGTGACCAACCAGGCAACTCAAGAAAAGTAGAAGAGAGAGAGAGAAACATGGAGAGAATAAAAGTAAGTGACTCACAAGGTCCCAGTCAACGTTTCGGAAGAATGGATGGCCCATAATGTCGGCAAAGCCAGTCTGAGGGTGGCAGCCTAGACGCTCCTTGGGATCCTGTGGGAGTGGGGGTGAGAGGAGGGTGAGAGACAGTATGAGGCGACGGTGGAGGAGACAGACAAAAAGTCAGACGACGGGCAAGCAAGGTGGAGAAGGTGAGAAAAAAGATAATGTGCAAGAGAGGTGGAAAAGATGAGTGGATTTCGACGAGGGGAAAAGTTAAAAAACGTATTAAGGCACAAGCGCCACCTTGAGCAACACAGGGACGGGGGTGGCAAAAAAGAAGAATGCAAGACACTGAGAGATGGCAGTTGGTTCCTACTAAGGCCATAATAATGTCATTCTCGGAAGCCAGCAGGAGCCAACACTGTTTTAAGACTGATCCAGACCTGTCTGACCCCTTCTTACCTTGTTGAGGAATCCCTTGAGGACGCTGGCGGCTTTGACTGACAAGGAGCGGGGGATTCTGATCTGTTTTTCCAATATTACTGCAGGAGGTGAGAGGAAAAGAGGGTAGGGGGGTGAGACAGACGGTCCCTTGAGGCTAAAATGACAGAAGACAGCAATGACACTGCTGCACTTAGGAGTTCAATCCTGTCGGGTATATTCATGTTGAACATAATATACAGAAGCCTTTCAATGAAGTGTCAATGGCTGTCTTAAAATATGACGTCCCATCAATCCGACACTTTTCTGGCAGTTATAAGAAAACACTGACACATTTTGAAACAGTATTTTCAATGGAATAACGACATGCATTCACACATTTCTCTGTAACAGATGGCATGTGCCTGGTGCTGGGAGAAGGGGCCATTGGAAAGGTGTCAATACAAAGGTGTTACATGTTTCCACTGTGCTGTTTCTCCCCCCTGTTATCAACCTGAGCAGTACAGTAAGTGTGTGTGTGGGTGTGTTACCTTGGAAGAGGTAGTCTTCTGTATTCTGGTCTGGGTTGTCGGAGCTTCCGACGATGTCGAAGGGCGACCGGCCCGCCATCATCTCAAACATTAGCACACCCAGCGCCCACCAGTCCACACTGAACCCTGAAGACGCACACATTGTATGTTATAAATCATGCTCATGACAACAAGGGGACATAAGCCTTTTTCCCACTGGACAAAAACACCGGCAAACATCCGGCTTTTGTATTTGAAAGGGCAGGCTACAATCAACATTCATGCCCAGGACAAATAACTATGCAGTAGTCACAGGTATTTATCGACTCCGACTGGCAGTGATGGAAACACGACATCTGAGTGGACATGCTAATTTTGGCCCCTTTGCCGGCATGATGCAAAGATGATCGTCACGTAATAACGTCCATCTTTCTCCAAGCAGCGCTCCAACACCACTTAAAATTTAGTCTGCACCAAGTTTGAGGGAGTGACTGAATAAACCACCTTAACATTTTGACTTGCCTCCATACTGTTTTCTTCTGTTTACTAAACCTGTTTTCTGGCATGTTCGTGATGTGGAATGTGACACATCAGAAAACGAAACACAAAACAGAAAGGCATACTCTTCCGGTCTGGTGTTGGCCAGCATACACACCCTAGTTTTAGTGGAAGAAGGGTAACTGATAAAGCACAGATGTTTTAAACCTGAAAAGAACAGATTTATGTCCAATACTGCCCTTGAATCTCATTAACAGCACAACCAAAACAAGGTATTAAAGTGTCTTTATGGCAATGATTTTGCGTGTTAGAGCACAATTCTCATGAACTCATGTAATTCAAAATATTTGCACAAAGCATACCAGTATTTTAGGGTTACTATAGCAACCATTCCCACTATGAAAGCATAGTAGTCTTTTCACATGCTTTCAGCCCTTGACATCAAATCTTCACCGCTAAAGAATTCCCAATTAGGGCTTAACTACAGTGTAAAGAAATACACACAGTGATATATTATAACTTAATTATTTCATTAGATATATGGGAGAGATAAAAGGTTTGATGAGCGTTTCGTTAACATGGGAGCTTAATGTAAAAATTGACCAAGTGGTAAAATGCTAATAGATATAGGAACCTAGTCCCAGTGGCACATGTAGAAAATGTTCCCACACAGTTTAATTTTGATGGTTTCTTGAATGTGCCTCACCTTTCACAGCAAGTTATGTTAACAATTGTTAACAATTATGTTGACGATTGTTTTGCCTCTTTACATTCTGTTGTTTATGCACACCTCATAACTCAGTCTCAGAGTAATTATAATTGCTCGCTGGCTGTGCAGGCAGGACCCTTGCAAAACCAGTAGCACATGTGTAATTAGGCTTTATTATGTTATTTATCAGATAAACAATTTGTCATCACATATAAAAGCACATTGAGCTAGTTTTCATTTTCCATTAAGCAGTAAAATAGATTATATAAGGTACCACGGTGGGTCTCATTATTACAGTGCATCCAACAGGGACACTGTACATGCACGTAAAACGATTTTTGAGGCTGGGACAATTAACTGCTCTGCCTGATTGTTATAGTTTTCTATAGGCTTTTTTCACAACAGACATTCTGACTTGTCACTACAGTAAAGGCACAGTTACCAGGAAGATTAATGAAGCCTTACTAAGCTGAACATGTAAAACCACTGGTATGATCCTTTGACACTGGATCTTAGGGCTGTCATTAGGTAGGTGGGTAGGTAGGTGGATATTATTTTGTTTTTAGTAAGTGTCATGTTATCTATTTATTTGGTTTTTATATTAATTTAATACTAATCCCAGACCTTACTGCACAATGCCTCCTACGCTGTATCATAGCAAATAAAAGAGAAGCATTTCTGGTAAGTGCTTGTGTGTTGTAATTTTCACCGTAATCCTCTCCTCTGAGTATTTCAGGGGCGATGTAATTGGGGGTACCACAGAAAGTGCTCGTCGTATCGCCTGGTCTCAAGCCCTCCTGCAAAAAGAAAAAGATCATTATCGGTGAGATCATCTCGGAGGGCTGTAAACCGACACTTATGCAGCTGTGCAGGTGCTTTTATCCAGAGTGCATTGTGGTATCATTAGAGCCTCGATTTTTCATATGCAGTAAACTGCAAACCGCACCTTGCACATGCCGTAGTCTGTGAGTTTAATGTGTCCCTCAGAGTCCAGCAACACGTTGTCCAGCTTCAGATCTCTGTAGATGATTCCCCGCTCGTGGAGGTAGTTGAGCGCCAAACTGATCTCTGCTGAATAGAATCTGAAAGAGAGATTCAGGTGTATTCAGAATCACGTATGACTACAAAACGACACAAAATGACATCAATCTTATTCTGTTTGAGGAGACAAAAAGTCTGATTCTACCTGGCATGTTCTTCTGGGAGTTTCCTTTGTCTCTGCATGTGGAACATGAGATCTCCACCATTCACATATTCGATAACAAAGAACAGTCTGTAAAAAGAAGCAAATGTTAGTTTCTTTTTTACCTGAATACATAATTCACAGTGTTATTTTTTCTCTTTAAAAAGCACAGAAGTGGGCTTGGGAAATAGCAATATTACCATTCAATACGATATTGGTTCGCCACAAAAATGGTCCTCACATGTCCATGATACCAGAAAGATATTCAATTATTCAACACCTGTTATGAATTGTGCCCTTTATTTGGTGTCTGTCTCTTTTCTCCTGCTTTCTCTATGCTTCACCACATTGTTATACCGTATCAAAAAAAGTAACGACATGCAAGCATTTGTCTGACACTGTATGTAATTACCAGGCCCTCAGGAAAGTTCTTAAGCTTTGCCTCCATTTTTTTTCCAGTGACATTCGTGGTATTGCAGCGAAAAAAAATCCCCTGTGGCCCAAAAAGCATTTTCCCCATAGAACACTATTATAAAAAAGATTGAACACCTTGAACTGCAAACACGGTAAATACGTTGATTAATTACGTTGATTTATTGACAGCATGCCCTTGTGTAAACAACACCTACTACCTACTAATATCCTGATCTAGGAGTTACCAAAATGTGTAAAAAGATTATCTAATTTTCTTTAGCATGATACTGGTAAGTCCATCCTTAATCCTTAAAAAGGGTAATGTCACTTTGTAGACTGCAGAAGAAACCGTGTGACTCCATCAGGAGAGACGCTCTCACCTGCTTTCTGTCTGAAAACACGAGTGAAGGCCAACCAGGAAGGGGTGATTAGAGGCCTGCTCGAAAACGTGCTTTTCTGTTTGGACCCAGTCGATGTCCTGGAAGAGAAACACACGGAGACACACCCCAGGTGTAAATCACAGATCATTCTGACATAGTATCCTTGAACTTATAAAAGCTGAATAAGCACAGTGCTTGATCGACCACCCTGTGCAGATGGAGACCAGGGTGGGCAGCGGCAGGATAAAGGGCTGAGCCAGTAGAAGCAGAAGCAGGTCCCTATTGATGGCTGGATGATAATATGTCTGGACACGGATGTGGCTTGCGCTGACAGGGCATGGACACCAGAACACTTCACCATTGTTTGAAAGGCACTTGTCAGTTTGTCAATCATGCTAAGTGCATCTAATCAAAGCTAACTACTCCTACTGCCTCTGGCTGTGTTGCTACATGTGTACGCCGAGATCAATTTCTGATGACATGATGGTATATCTACACCTTCTTAAAAAGACTGATGGCTTGAAACAGGTCCGTCAACTTAACTCAAAGTGTTTCAGACAAGATGCACAAGATGGCTATTTAGTCACGACACAAATGTTCATGGTGCTATGAGCAAAGGCGTCCACTGACTGTGCTAATTGCATTAATTATACATGGCAGCGACAGAAGACTGATTACTTCACTATTAACTAACCTTGCCACATCTCAGTGGATAGTAGGGCTGTAATGATTCCTGTTTATGTACTGAACAGTCACAGTAAGGGGGTCACGGTCCAGTGAACGTAGCTGCACACAGAATACTGACTGATGTGGAACCAAAGTTCACAAGTGCGAGTTCCACCTGGAAAATTTCAGCCATTTGCTGTTATCAACATATGCTGAGGTTCATACAACAAGCAGACTGGCGTGCGCGTCAGTCACACCATGGCGAGCACAAATAAATCGCCAGAGTTGCAAGACCTGCCTGCAAGCTCCCAGTCAGCACTGAGGAGAGTTGTGTGTGACATGAGGACGGTGTGTCGGTGTTGCTCAACCGTTGTATCTATAGGTGTAGGGGATGTAAATGGAAACACATCCAATATGCTGACGCACGGCATCACCCAGATGTGCTGATCACCAGGATGACAAATGTTTGGGTGCTTTAAGTGTTTAAATATAGCAACAGGGGACCTAATTGAAACATTCTTCCTGATGCAAGTTTTATTTTTCATTATTCGGTAATGCTACCATCCCCAGTAGAATGATTTGCACTACTGACTGTTCAAAATAAATGAAAAGAAACCTAAGCTTATACATTAAGCTTTTTTCTACTGTACCAAACTTGCACCAAATCGTGACTCCCAAACCAAACCATGGTATGAACCAAACCATGACTTTTGTCCACCATTACTCACATGGTAGATGAAGGTGTTGTGTTACTGCTACACTGGACAGACTTAAAGAGACAGTTTCACTTTTGAAATATTGTACATTTTCCTTCATAAGCAGACATGCACCTTTAAACCTCTCAAAATAAGATGGTTGGTTTAACTAAATTACATGTTGTGATAAGTCACTTGTTTAACTATTAACAAATAAGTAAGATTATATGAAAGCTAGCTGATAGCTGAAGCTATTAGTTCATTAATTGATAAGTTGATCAACTATCCAATACTTTCATAATTGATTAATTGTTTTTAAAGAAAAAATACCACTGATTATACTGTATGTTTCCAGCCTCTCTTACATGAGGATTTTCTGCTTTTCTCTGTTTTGTACAATTGTAAACTGAAAAAAATTAGATTTGGACTGGTCGGACAAAACAAGACATTTAAAGATTTTTTTTTCCCCCACTACATTTTACAATAAAAACACTCAACAATTGAAAAAATATGAATTAATAATCAATAATGAAAATACTTGTCAGCTACAGCTCTGGAAACACCCTCATCATGTCCTATTTTCATTCGCGTAAACTGACAGCAATGGAAACAGTTCAAATGGTAATTTTGTAGGTTACTGTGACAAATGTCTTCAAACCTCAGCCCTTGAGACGACGACTACTGGGCTGATTTTTGTCTTTGATCTTGAGCCAAAACATGCTAAATTCAGTCTTTAACACACATTCACAGTGCATGTACGGATAAGAAAAATGCAGAGAGCGTCATTCACAGTAAGCAGTAACAATAAAAAAAAAAATGCTGATGGGGTTTGAGAGCATTTTATTGAATGTGAATCTACTTCCAAATCTCGTTTATTAGATCAGAATCCTTTTGAATCCCTTATAAGATCTGTTTTGATAGCTTGCTTGGTGGAGAATGGAAACACCTTAGTTAAAAAAGTGTTGTTTTTACTTAACCTTTTCACCACATAATTATTTTGTCACTGCTCTGTGACACATTTTTCATTTTGCTGCTAGGAAAAACATTAAGCGTGGCACTTTTCAGTAAGCTCCGACAAATACTGCATTTCACAGTTGTTTCGTTGACCTTGATTGTATTCACACTTTCGAACGGTTAAGTCATAATACATCCATGGTGTAAGTCATGGTTTAAGGCTTTCCGCCATGTTCAGTAAGTCAGTCTTGTTAACAACTGTGTCACTGAATTAGCATGTGTCTGTATGCCTCACCATTTTTTTTCTCTTTGCAGACGCCTGTAGTGTGAGAGAAAGGCAAAAGAGATTATCTAAGAGAGAGACTGTGAAGGAGAGATTCGATGAGGGATTCGTTGGCTGCGGAAATGGAACCAAAATGGGACTGGCTATCGACACAGTCTAACTCCAGAAAGGATATCACTTTAAAGGGGACCTATTACGCTTATTTTCAGGTTCATACTTGTATTTTAGGTTAACATGTTGACACCTTTAAAGGTCCAGTGTGAAGGATTTGGGGGGGTTATATTGGCAAAAATAGAGCAAACTGTAAGTGCATAATCACTTGAAAATAAGAACTGTCCTGTTTTTGTTGCCTTAGAATGAGCTGTTTCTATCTACACCACCACGTTTCTACATTAGCCAAAGGCATACAAACCTAACACTGGCTCTAGATAAGGCCATTCTCATTTTCCTGTCAGCCCCCGTCGTTAGCGCCCCTCCACAAGTCAGAAAACCTCTGCGGATATTTCTGCTCATGGTAAAAATCCCCTAAACATCTGGATCTTATCAGAGAAGAAAAGGTGAGCACAAATTAGCAGGCGCAGGGCTAACGGCTTGTCTCCAACATTCCAAACAGCTTCAGGGAAACACTTATTTGTAACATGAAGCTGCCTTATTCAGTGTTTTTACTAATTTATATCACTGGATTCATTTTTTTTTTGGACAGAAGAAGACCTCTGCGGATAATTCAGCTCCTTTAAAACCCCCCTGAACAAAGAACACTAGATATATGACAGAAAATAAAGAAAGGTATAATAGGTCCCCTTAATCAAAGCCCACCAACTCTCTTGAGTCCATGCAAAAGCTGCCCTACAACTGTCATGCTATCAAGCTTTTTGACTTTGATGGTGTGTCACACATTAGCGTCGTTTACCTCATCGTCATTGACTAGCTCTTTCTTCACCACCTTCATGGCGTAGATGCGCTCTGTCTTTTTCAGCTGCACCAACAGCACCTTGGCGTAGCTACCTCTGCCGATGACCCTGAGCAGATCGAAGTCTGCCAGGCCCAGGCTGGAGGGCGATTTCCCTGTGTCTCCACTGCTTCCCGCCTGAGGAGCAGGTTACACAGAGTGGGAGGGCAAGCATTAGAGACTGTCATACAAAAGGTACATACATACATAATGTGATAAACACAGAGTCAACTTTCAGTACATCAACCTTTTTTCAATGAACTGTTGATAGAAGTGGTGATTCGGTTTGTGCACAAGAGTGATTTCCTCTGGGCGGTTTGTATATGAGGTTAAAACTGCACCACCTTTTGAAAGTAAATCTCACTAATGACTTTCTTGACTGTATTAAACACCATCACCCCACCTCCATCCGATTAAGCACTCCCTGTATTAGTCCAACCTCTCCGCAAACCTGATTACCACCTTCACCATTTCCTTGCCCGTCTTCCTCTCTCTTCTCTCCCTCCTGTAATCTGTTCTGTAGTGAACCGTTCCCACTACCTATCCATCTAACTCCCCTTCACGTCACAACCCCCATCCCCAGAGTCGGACATGGAGCCGCAGATAAGATCATTTGGCTTGCCCTCTTTTATCTCCGTCTACCTGTGTCCAACTCGATCCATTTTTTATCCGTCTTCAGCTCCCTGCTCTGCCGAACATCCCCCCACCTCCTGCCTACAACCCCAAACTACATCCCTGCCCATTAATCAGCCTCGGGTGTTAAGAGCTGTGATAAAAGGTTACTTTATTAGCTCCACCAAAGGAAATCAATACCCACAGCATTGCGAGGGTGCGGACGTCTGCATGCGCTCTATATCACACATGCACAGCAGGTGGAAGAAGGATCACCCAAATGCACACGATGGCAAAATAAGCAGAAAAGAAAAAAACATTACAGGTGAATTTTTTTCTTTCTTTCTTTCTCTCACAAAAACAGCACTGATTTCTCTTCTAAATATACATACACACACACATATTCATAAAGACAACATGACAGATTGACAGACTATGAGTCACACATCAACAGTGTTTGAAAAGATTTTCTCTCTCACCTCTCTCTCGTTTCCATCGTAAGTCAAGCTTTCTCTGGAGCCTTTCTTCTGAGGGCCTGAGAGAGAGGAGGAAAGTGACAGACAGACAGAAGGAGAGGGGGAGGCAGGAGAGGAGAAATAACGTAGGAGAGATGAGAGAAGGAGAGAAAGTAGGTGAGAGACAGTCACACTCTTTGTTCACAGCCCTGCGGTCGTTTCTCTCTGCACGGTTGGAGAAGAAAATACCCGATTGTATCCACTTGTTTAGCAGTGCAACAAAACTGGAGTGTTTAAACTTTGTTTTGTACTTGTGATCATTTAAGTCATAATAATCAACATAAATACATTTAAAAACTGGCTTAAACAAAGACAACTGTGTCCCTTAACTTCCCAGGTGGCCTGTGAGCATCTATGGCGGATAGAGACTTAACTGCCTCACTAACAACAGCAACAACGATCCTAAGCCCTCTCATTCCAGTCAGACTCTCAGCCACCTGACCGGACTTAAGTCTGATGCTATAGGTAAACCCCAGATGCAGCTGACCCCACTTGTAGTCTGGGTGGTCGCTGATATGCTAATGCTAACAGGCGCCTGAGCTCAGTCTGGTGATATTCTACATTTCTCTTAAAGTCAAGAAATCCCATTAGAAAAAATGGACCTAACACTGAAGTGATGATACTAACATGTCTGTGTATCCAAAGCCTGATATGTCTTGTATATGTCTGCGTCATAGAGCTCCTTTGCTCCATTAAAAACACATCAATAAGCCAAACTGTAGCACAGGAGAACATGCTCCTTTATATGATTAACACATGATGGGCACTATAGTTTTGCTTGAGTTGATTGGACAGACACGATCCTGCTGCTGTGAATACACAAGTGAAAACAGTCCCAACCAAAAACACTACTTATTCCTGTTTGAGTAACAATTGCTAAAAACTGAAACATTGCAGTTATTTGACATGCGTCTCAACCACTAGCCTGCCAGGATGCTTCTGTTTCAGACTTTTTTTTTTACATTTAAAATATATGTTTGTGATTTATTTTCAAAGATCTACTTCTTCCAAACAAATGAAGCTGAAAGTCAGAGTATTGGAAGATGAAAATTCCTCTTGGCTTTGGCCTCTTTATAGGATGACAAAAATAAAAGATATTGATAGCCTTATCTTTTAAAAATAGTGGACAAAAGCAGCAGGCGATGCATCAATTTAAGTCATAAGAATGGCAATTGATGGCCTGATGTTTCAGAAATGCATATATCAAAAGAAATCTGTAATTTAATGAACAGTTTGTGGCAAAAAGCAGTTTTTTTTCTGTATTGTTTTTTCTTTGTTTATGCGTTTCTAACCCAGGGTCAGGCAACCTGCGGCTCCAGAGCCACATTCGGTTCGTGAGCCTCTGTCAAGTGGCTCCCTGTGGCTCTGACAAAAACATTACATGGAAATGAATAACAGTTAATGTCTCAACATTTTAATCTTTATTTATCATTGCTGCAGGTCTTCAGTGATTCTTACATTCTCCAGTTGTAAAAATGTAGCCTGTACACTGACTGAAGAAATGTTTTAACATTTTGTCGACAAAAATTGTGCATCATACATCAACAGCCTGGTGCCTTTCCCTCTAAGTTTTGCCAAACCTCAATACAGTGACTATTCTGTGTCTCCCTCACTCGGCTAGCAGTGGTTACAAATCCAAAAAAGGAAGAGTTTCAAAGGAAAATAAAGAATTTAATACTGTGTCAATAGATTTGTCTGCTTTCACCACTAACTATGCAAAGTTCATTTAGACCCATTAATGATGCTGATGGGCTAATTGAGACTTACAGGCTGCGTTTCCTTCATTATAAGGCCCAAATATGTTTTGCAGCAAGTAAAGGCTGTCAACTCCTGTTCCAACGCTATTTTATTTTGTATGAGGAAAAAGCTTTAAATGTTTTTAGCTGTGACCAGCAGCTCTACAGCTCACTCTGACAGTAAAAATTTCCTCACTCTTCAGCAGCCACTGTTTTCATCCAAAGAGGCTGAAATTTGGCATGGAGGTCAAGCGTGTGTGTGCTTGCGTGTGAAGGTGTGTTTGTTCATGCCAATCACCAATGGGCGTTGCCCATCTTAAAAAGGCACATAACTTTCAAACAGATTCACAGACTTGCATAAGGTTGTGCGGAAAGACTCGTCATCAGCCGAAGGGCAGCCGATTAACTGTTCATGCCAACTGGCAAAAAGGGGCAACGTGCCGATGCATGTATATAGGTGGCTGCAGCTATTGTGAATTCCCGCTTGTTGACTTCTGATTACCATTTGTAAACACTTTGTGTGTGTGTGTGTATGAGTGTGTGTTTTACCTGGCTGTTCAGTTTGGTCTATTTGACTCGATGGTGGGCCAGGCATTATTGGTTCCTAGGCAACAACATTTGTCACAGTATAATCAGCATTGAAAAACAGAATACACTCTTTAAAGTAAATGTATGAGTCATAGACGGTAACAATCCAGTTCACGCCATCAAGCTAATGAGTATAACGTCTGTCGCAGCCCTCACCTGGATCATCGGTCTGCCACACTCTACTGTGACCAGTTTATGGCACTTCTTGTGCACCAGCAGTTTGCAGTTGATGCATTTGTAGCCTTGTCTTCCCAGACCCCAGATTCGGTCTGTACAGATGGCACAGTGGGCTCGCTGCACGGGAAGACAGACAGAGAAAAATCTTCACCACAGACGAACAAGTGCACATTATATTCAAGGAGACACTGTGTGATGGCTTCTGAAACATGTAGCCCTGCTGGTCTCAATCAAATCATTCTGTGTCACTACCATCCCTTTTACTCTATCAATCAATACAAAAAATATATTACTTTAGGTCTTTAGGAGGTGTCCTTTAATCACACGTACAGTAACTAAGCTTTGAAATGTGCATTGTGTTTCAGTTTTTCATTTTAATCCAGCAGATATTTCGCCCATCATAAAACTCAATAATGATAATGTAAAAAAGAAATACAGCAGTACTGAGTGAAGGGCGTCACAGTGTGTAATACTATAAAACAAAATTTAGTGTCATGTCTCACCCTGTTAAAGCGCTTGGCCTGAAAGGCATGACCGCTGGCATAGTAAAGCTTCCTCCAGCGCCGTGCTCCACGCCGATATATAGACTCTGTGAAAAGATGAAAAAGAGGGCCGAGTCCTGCTTTACCTGTGGTTATGCATTTGTGTATTAGTGTGTGAAAAATGGACCACTTTGAGACCCTTTGTTCAGAAACAATATGCTGTGGATGTGAAGTATATCACACTTTCTAAGTATGTCAAAAAACTCCTGGTTCCACTGACACTCAAGTTTCACATACACACATTTTCGTTACAATTACAAATTTGGCCCTCTTTTCCAAAAGTGATACTTAAGACTAACATACGCATGTATGTGCATGCATAAGTTCAGCGTCACATACAGAGTGGAAACTCTGAGTTTTACAGTTTTCTGCTTTGAATCTGTGGTCAGATGTTTAAAAAAATCTTTTTTCTCACCTTACTAATTTCTTTCAAGACCTACAAATATTTTATGCACATTCAAAAACTTCAAGTTCTCATGCAGTTTTTTTTTTTACACATGCACAAAGGGTGATGCACACAACAGGCTTTGATGTCTGAACATTGTTTCACACACTCACAAGTCTTATTGATCCTTATTTGAGTGAACCATCTCTATTTCTAAGTTCTCCTGGGTAAAGGAATCCACTTAAATGCCTCAGATTTAAAATGGTAATTATGAAATATAGGTTTCTTTTGGACCCCTGCAAGAAAAAATGGGTACAACTAAAGAAGGAAAAGGTTTAACTCACTGTCCTCTCCCGGACATGGCATGCCAGGTTTCTCTGGTACACATGGGAAAACTGGGAAGAAAAACAAAAACAGTTAAATTTAAAAGGCTATTTCATCTAAATGAAGCAAGCCTGACAGCATTTATGTAAAATTCATTTCATCTCATCATGACAGCAGTTAAAGGGATACTTTGCCAGTTTTCAACCAGCTTTGTATCATAACAATGTGGGTAGTATGTGTAAATAAACTATGGTAAACTTCCCTCCATCTTACCAGTGCCCAGATCTCCCTGCTCATCTCTCAGCTCAAATCCACTGGATGATGCCTTTTGGATTTTTTTGCTAGCTCTGGGGTTGCTTGAACTACAGAACTACAATTAAATATCTTTTCAACTCTATTTTTCGTCTCTTGTATGATCCCTTGCCCAGCACCTTGTTTTTTATCGTCTGGATGTGCGTGCTTTTGTAAACTAGTTGTAGGTTTTCTACCTCTTGAACAAAGCAAATGCCATAGCCCTTTCTATGTGCTCTCTCTGGTCATGTAGCACCGATTTCAAAAGTATCTGCGTCTTTCTACTCCATAGACAGTCCTGTGTTATGAAAAGACCATCTTTCCAGCAGTGAAATACAGTGTTTCACCTATATGCATCACATACTGTATAGATTTTTTTTGTTTTATGAGAGAAGAGAGGAGAGAAGAGGAGGAAAAGAGAGAGCTCCGTCTTATCTCTTTAGAAACTACGTACTCTTCATATGCAGATCAATTTACACTTCTGGCAAAGCATATAAACAGAAGAAACATTTTACTAGATAATGTCAGCACAACAATTATAACAACAAGCAGATCAGATGTCAACACCGATGCAAGCAATGATGATCACAGGTCAGCCAGAAAAAATAAAAACAGTACTAAAACTACACGCACAGCACAGTAACGTTACAGTAAATGCAATAAGTTGACAGGAATACTAAAATAAACACGTCTGTGAAATAAACATTTGGAGGATCCATCTTGATGCAAATGCAGTCCGTATTCCACATTTACTGAACATATGTAAGCTAGACAGACGTTTCCCCTGCTCATTACTGTGCACAAATGTACTGTATGTACTCAGGCCTCAGGAGCCCTTCTGGTGCCAGCAGACAGAGAAACCTCCTAGTAGGGTACGCTTTGGGGGCGCCCAAAAAAATTCACATGCATGCTTCACCTCCACTGCTACAATTCCATCCTAGGGGAAATAGTGCTACCTGTAGCAAACCTGTCACCTTGAGCAAAGCATGATGAAATTGCCTCATTTTGTTTTTAACGATGGTGCGAAAGTGTTGGTCTTTTCTCACTTCACTGTATCTTTCACACACACACAATCTTACAGAAGACGACGAAGATTATTGGTGTGTGTGAGAGAGAGAGAGAGAGAGAGAGAGAGAGAGAGAGAGAGAGAGAGAGACAGAATTCCAGCTAGACTGGGGGCAGTGTGAGTCAGAGGCGAGGCGTGGGCTACAGCCGACAAGCTCGTTAACGAGCAGACCTGGCAACCCCCCGCGGCACCGTCACATCCTTTCCTCCACCCCCCTTCCTCCATTCATCCTCTGCCGTCTTGCTGGCATCCACTGTACTCTTGACCCCTCACCTCTGATTTGATTAAAACTTTACATAAACCACATTGCGCCCGTCCCCTCTACCCCCAGGTTACATGCTTAAACACACACAGAGCCTGTCAATCAAATGTTCCATATCGCTCCACATGTATGCCGCACTACCCCCCACTCCCCACCCCGCGTCTGAGTTAGTCCTGACCTCCAGACTCATGAAGTTGTACAACTATTTGTCAAGACGGCTAAGCTTAGACAAGGATGTGAAGTAGCTCAAGGGCGCATAGACAGACGTCAACAGCGGATGTAATGCTGTTTTTACAGGTCAGTGCAGCATTAACCGTATGTTTGATGTTTTTTTGTTATATGCAGTTTCTAGCCATCTGTTTCCAGATTTAAACAGGCACATAAATGCACAGAGAAACCTTAAAAAAGGACAAGAACATAAAAACAAACAGCATAAGGTTGTCATCAAACCCAGAGAATTTTAGATGGGTAGAAAACCAAATCTAAATATGTACTCTACATTTTTGTGGCCAGACACGATGCGAGAAAAAGCCATTTCCCAAAATCCCGTTCAAACCATTTTCAGACAAATAAACAGTTCTAGAAATAAATCAAATCTAAATGTCTATTTTGCACTATTGCTGGACTGTGCTGATCAGGTTTCCTACATACCATTTATTTCCAGAATGACCAGGAGTCTGTACCACGAAGTGAGATTAGTGGGTTACCGGCTATCTTTGGGTTTAACTCAAGCTCCTCAGTGCAATGAAACTGAGAGATTACCATGGTAACCCATGCTGTACAACTAACCTGCTCAGATCTTAAATCATGTTAGGCTTTTCCAAGATTGAGATATGACATATATGGCTCTTCCTGTCATTGTAAAACTCAAGTGTGGAGCCTGCCATCACTCCCGAATTGATCATTTTAAAATACATAGAGAAACAGTACATTACACCTAAAATAATGTCAATCCTAGATATTTTTCTGGTTCTGTTTAGGTACTGTTGAGATTAGTTTACATTTATAATGATTGGAGTCAGGAGTCAAGGCCTTTGCACGCCAAATAGGTATTTTTTGTATGCATATTTTTAATCCATCAACTGATAGAAATTGTTACGCACAGAAACCTCGCACACTGAGTCCAATGCCTTTTCTTGTTCTATTCATTGCAAAAATTTGCAGTACAAGACAAAGACTAATTTGCTCCCTTGCTTCTCTCAACTTGACTCTGCCCGAGTGTTGCATTTGGCAGTGTGTCTATCTGAAGGGGCTAAACTTTCCTCCCTCTCTGTCTGTGTCTTCATCCTCGATTTCACCCACCTCGTCACCATCATACACCTGAATGTTACTAGCTGACCTGTTAAAGGTAAGGTGTCAGAGTTATGACAAGATGCCGTTCCTGTCTCTTGTTGCGGATGTAGCTATGTGAACCAGTGGTAACTCCATGTTTTCTTTACTGCTTCTTGGCAACACAACTCTCTAAAGGCTTTTGATGGATGTGAAAAAATCTAACCTGAATGACCAAAAAAAGCAAAGTCGGACTGTAAACATGATTGACACGACATATGGTTGTATTTATTTTTAAACGTGACAATTTCAGACAAAAAACATGGACTTGTTGTGCAGAGGCCTTAGAGCAGGTGTATAGTTTCATTATATGTCTACGAAAAATAAGTGAAAAAAACTTTTTATCTATAATTTATAATAAAACATCTTACCACTTGATACTTCAGTACAAAACAAACTCCATGTTACACTGTGCCAAAGCAATATGATGCATTTTATCTAAAACAGTGTGAAGATTAAATGTATTTGACTTTGTAACGAGATGTTTTTAAATTACATGACAACATTTAGCATGAATACCTTGATAATAGTCGTAGAGACTAATTACTAATACTGGCAGGCAGTTCACGGCTAAAGCTCAACAGAGAGGTGAGTGGACTATTTGTAGAGCAGAAAAGTTTGAAGATAACAGGCTTCTCAACTGGACCTCTTACTGACCAAGCACCTGGTGTGAATCGACAACTGACAGTGTACAGGAACACGAGAACATCTTGTGTGAAATCCTGAGAGTATTTATGGTATGATTTGATACAGCCTGTGTGAACAGTGGTAAGGCTCACCGTGGATAATAAGCTCCGAGTCTTTGTTGACTTCGTAGAGACGCAGTGCTTCTTCCAGCTCCAGCTGAGATGACACAGTGCAGGGGTCACCTAGGAGCAGAGGAGAGACAAGATGTCATTTACCATGTTATAAAAAGACACCAGGCTACTCGGAGAAATCACGTTGGAAAGACAAGAATGTTTTTAAATCCTCTGACTTTGGTCCTACATTTACTGATTACTAGCATTACTCGTCTTCAATAGTACACTACAGAGACACTGCAGCTTGAAGACAATAATCTAATGTTAGAGCATCTGGATGGACAGCACAATAAAAGGAGAGGCTTTGCAGAGAGAGCGTTGACAGTTTTTGCTAACCGTGTGTGCACGACTCTGTAGATGAGTGGATTAGTAGACGAGTATGCCTTAATGTTTGGCCTTACTGTGCCACATTTGACATCACAAATGCACAAGAAAACAAGGTCAGTAAACAGTAAAGCAGCATGGCGGCCAGTGAAAATATTAAGTTGGTCACCTCTTTTTTATATCTCTTTCTTATTCAGTCTTTCTCAAACTCAGTGCCAACTAGATTTTGAATGATATTTGAGTGCTGCTTGGACAAAGATGGATGGTATTTTGTGGGGCTCAAATTAGCGCGTACACCTGGGTGTCAAATTTCCATCACTGCCGATCAAAGTCGCCTGAAGCCGGAGCCGATCAAATACACCTGACTCCTGCCAAATCATTTGTCCCGAGAGTGAATGCTGATAGGGCTTAAGGTATCTGAGATACAAGTAGAGCTGTAACAATTAGTTGATCAAATGATTAGTTGATTGGTTAAAGGTGTCAAAGTAAACATTTTAAGCAAAAATGCAAAACATTTGCTAATTATAGCAACTTAAATGTGAGAATTTGATGCTTTTCTTTGTCATACATGATAGTCAACTAAAAGTCTTTGGGTTTTGGAGAGTATATTGGACAAAACAAGACATCTGAAGACGTCACTTTGCACTCTGATTCTTCACTTTTCAAGAAAACAATTGCCATGTATTTGAAGAAGGACACACCGCTACAGGTACAAAAAAACTTTCTTTTCATTTCTCTACACTGCTGCCACATTGACACATGACCTGTCTTATGTTTTTGTCAGAATAGCTAACAATCAAAGACATTTTGTGCTCTTCATTTGGTGGTTGTATTAATGCACATTTTTAGCACTTCATATTTTCTCACTTTTATGAATTTAACAGCTCCCATCCTTTTTATATTTGTATTATGAAGGTTTTATCTTTCACATGCATACATGTAAAAAAAAAAAAAAAAAAAAAAATTGTTAGAGATCAAATAAGGGGAACCAGGTTTCTCATTTGACATTTAAGAGATCAGGTAATGGCAGGAATTCGACAATGGCCAGGTTACTTTTAATTGCACAGAACAACAAGACAAAGTACAGATAATGAAGTGACACATATTACTGGAGTTACGAGAGCTAACAGATGTGAGTGTAAAAGGTGAGTCATACAGTAGGGCAGCATGACATTTAAAAAACCAACATCTTTTACTATTGTAGGTGTTACATGAATTGTAATAAATGAACTTTCAGTAAACATTGAATAGAGTGTAGGACAGTGGTGGGGAACCTCCGGCCTCCAGGCCGTATACGGCCCGCGAGGCCATTTGAACTGGCCCGCAACGCAATAAAATTGTTACATTTTGTACTAGTATGAATAAAAAAAAAAAAAAACAGGCAAACAATGACCGACAGCCATTAGTTTTTTGAAATAAAACAGACTGTTATAAATGTCCGAGTCAACGTCAGGGTCAGTGAACACAGCATGTGATTTAACTACGTGACTTTGTGTGTTGACACTAGAGCGCGCAATGTTGACTAGTGATGAATCATGGCAACTGTCAAGAAAAGGAAGGTAGATGAAGAATGCCGCGTATTCCAGGAAAAATGGACAAACGATTTTTTCTTTGTTGAAGTGAAAGGCAAGCCAGTGTGCCTAGTTTGTGGCGAGGCGCTGGCAGTGATGAAAAAGGCAAATCTCGAGCGCCATTACAGCTCGAAACATGCTAAACTTGGCGAGTTTGCAAGGACAAATGCGTATGGATAAAATCAACGCTCTTCGTTGGAGTTTGGGTGCCCAGCAGGCAGCTTTCACAAGACCACAGGCTGATGTGGAAGTTTTGTGGTGAGTGAAATAATAGCCAAGAAGCTGAAACCTCATGCTGAAGGAGAGTTTGTGAAGGAGTGTCTCGTTGCCGACGCGGAGCTGCTCGCGCCTGACAAAGTGAAATTATTTCAAAGTGTCAGTTTGTCTCGAAGAACCGTTACAGACAGGATTACAGATATGGCACAAGACATTGAAAAAACACTGAAGGGCACTGCAAGAGACTTTGAGTATTTTTCTCTGGTCTGTGATGAGACAACAGACATCACAAACACAGCACAGCTTGCCATTTTTGTGCGTGGGATTACGGCCGAGTTTGAGACGAAGGAGGACTTGCTGTCTTTGCAAGCCATGCATGGCACTACCAAAGGTGAGATTTGTTCAGTCAAGTTGCTGTGGCCATGAACAATTTTGAACTGCCATTTCTGAAGCTGAGCGGCATCGCTACTGATAGAGCACCCGCGATGGTTGGTGCGCAAAAAGGATTAACTGCATTAGTCAAAAAAGAAATGAGCCGTCTGAGTCTGGATCCAAGTGATTTAGTTGTATGTCACTGTATCATACATCAAGAGAATCTGTGTGCACATTCCCTGAAGCTTAACAACGTGATGAAAACCATCGTGTCCACCATAAACTTCATCAAAAGCAGAGGGCTTAACAACCGCCAGTTCAAGGAGCTACTCAGCGAGCTCGAGTCAGAGTACGGTGGTCTGGTTTATCATTGTAAAGTGCAATGGCTGAGTCGTGTAAATACGCTCGCACGGTTTTATACACTGCGGGAAGAAGTCAAACAGTTCATGGAGATGAAGGGGAAACCTGTCCTTGAGCTCAGTGATGGCAAGTGGCTCAGTGATTTGGCCTTCATGGTGGACATCACCAAGCACCTGTCAGAGTTAAACATCAAACTGCAAGGTCCCAACCAGCTGATCAGCTCCCTGCTTTCAAATGTGAAATCATTTGAAGTGAAGTTAAGGCTGTGGCAAGGACAACTGGAAAGGGGAAACACTGTGCACTTTCCCACTCTGCAAGAACAAAAGCCTGATGGTATGACTGAATATGCTGGTGAGTGTGCAAAACTCATTCAGGCATTTGATGAGAGGTTTCATGATGTGAAAAATATACAAAAAGAACTGGACATGTTTGCTACGCTCAATCTGGATGCTCAATGTGCAACCAGCTGATGTGCCAGACAACGTCCAAATGGAAATAACTGAGCTGCAAAGCAACAACGAGCTCAAAGCTAAGTACAACAACCTCCCTCTGCTGGACTTCTACAAGGGCTGAGGATTTTCCCATCTTGAGGAGACACGCCCTGAAGTTTGCATCTCTGTTTGGAACATCGTACCGCTGTGAACAGCTCTTTTCAAAACTGACTCTTGCAAAGACTCGCTACCGCTCAAGACTGACTGACCCAAACTTGGAGAACCAACTTCGAGTAGCATCATCATCACTGCTAGCTGACGTTCAGACGCCTCGCCAAAGAGAAACAGTTCCAGCCATCGCATTAGGTGAGTATGACGTGTAGAAATACAGCAATCTTGAGGCTCAGTAACACAGTGGTTATAGACATTTTTTTCTGTCTTTTTTTTTTTTTTCATCTCTGGTCACGTGTTCATAATAGTAATATGGCCCTTGGAGGACTTTATAAAAATTGATATGGCCCTTGATATGAAAAAGGTTCCCCACCCCTGGTGTAAGAGAACACACTGAAGCAGTCGATGCTGCCATTTAAAATAGTTCCTTTTAATTGTACAGGCGTATTTGCACAGTGATCAATCTAAGTCAATAATTAAAATACCACTCTAGAGATCAGATCTAATTATTTCCTTATCAGTAGCAGTTAGAGTCGGGTGTTGGCATGACACATGAAGAGAGGCAGTGTGAGCCGACACAGAGGCCACCGACTCTATTCTTAGTGCACTATTTAACTAATCACCACTACAAACCACTGACTTTATAAATAGGTTGAGAACAGAAACTATGACACACGGTGTGTGTTTAGAAATCTACTGTTGGGGGTTGACAGAGAACTAGAACTGGTGGGTGGACTGGTGAGTGGACTGAGATTACAATCACGTCTGGTCTTTACTGAAAGTTTTGGTTTCAGGAAGTATCATTAAGAGTGTGAGTGCTTGAGTCCATGTATGGTACGGAGAAAATACAAACAGGAACAGAGACAAATTATTTACCATACACTTAAACTAGAATTACCGCCTCGCTGTTGTATGCCTCCGCACGCCAGTCAGGTTTCTCTCACAGTTTACATTCATGTCTGTGAAAACATGGATGCTTCACACACATCCTCAACCCAGCAGCACAGAAGAGCTATAAAATCAGCACAGTTTCAAGGTATGCACTAAAGATTAGTGTCACCAATTCAGGATGTGAACCATTGTCTCCCCTTCTGTTTCTGAGTTATGACATAAAGTGATGGCCAGGAAAGTGTTTTTGCAGAACATTATGATGTCACAGTGAAGTTGTCCTTTGACTTATTGGATATAAAATATACCACTTCATAAAGCTTACAATGACCTTGACCTTTGACCAACAGAATCTAATCAGATCATGGTTGGACTTTTGTGCCAAATTTGAAGAAATTTCCTCAAGACATTCATCAGAAATCATGTTCCCAAGAATGAGACAGATACAAGGTCATGTTGACCTTGACCACAAAAATCTATTCATTTGAGCGTTGAGTCCAAGAAGAGGTTTGTGCCAATTTTTTTTAAAAATCCCCCAAGGTATTACTGAGGTATCATGTTCACAAGAATGAGACAGACAAGGTCACAGTGACCCTGACCTTTGACCACCACATTCTAATCGGTTAATTCTTGAGTCCAAGTGGGTGTTCAAATTTGAGGAAACTCCCTCAAAGACTTCTTGAGATGTCATGTTCACAAGACTGAGATGGAAGCAAAGTCATACTGACCTTGACTTTGACCACCAAAATCTAAGCAGTTCACCTTGAGTCCAAGTGGACATTTGTGCCAAATTTGAAGCGGCACAGAGGCATAAAAAGTACTGACTGGGATGAATCACTCACCAATCTTCACGTCAGTAAGTTCAGTAAGCTTTTTCCACTACATGTTCAAGTACTTTCCTCCTAACTTTTCAGTCTGCAAACAAGATTTTAATTCTATTTTTTTCCTGGTGTGGTTTGGTTTGTGGTGAGGGAGCACATTGCGCTCATGAGTACCATTTTAAAGATGGTGTTTTGGATTAGAGCCTGACCGATTAAGGATTTTTAAGGCTGCTAAATATACTAAAATTTAAGAGTTTTAAAAATCTGACAACAATAAACTTACCAAAATTCATTTTGTTACATCAACACAGGAACACTTTTGATTAAAGAAGCTATATGTAAGAAATCAAAAGCAAATAGTCAAGCAAATCCTCCTAATATGTCACAGAGACTAAGGAATAATGTTCAAATAACATACTGATCTCACCGACAACAACAGTACAGCCAGAATATTCACATTAAAAAAAAACAATTTACGGTCCTCAAATCATGTTTATATTTTGAATTTGTGTTTTGGCCTGTTGCGACACCCTCCGCCGTCTACCAGTCACGCAGTCAGTAGAGTCTCAGCATCAGTTACAGTTACGACTGAGCTACAATGTCTGATGGTGCGACTAAACCCAAACGACCTTGTTATGATTCCCAAAAACGCCAAGACAAAACTCGAGGCAAAGCAAGGGTCTATATAGGAGAAGCTTTTGAACGGTGGAGACGGTTGAAAGCGGAGAAGAATTTGAAATCGGATGTCGAAGTGGCTACTCTTCTCCTCGACAGGTAAGCTTTAGCCAAAGTTGGCTAACTAGCATCATAGCTAGACGGGGATGGACATTTCAAATACTTTCAACTGTTCATTCATTTTCAATCATACATTGTAGCCCATGTGCAGGTGGGTCATCGACCCGACTGATTTTTCTTTTGAGAAACAAACGTTAGCAGCACGGCAAGCAGCATTAGCAGTGTCCCGGTAAATAGCATTAGCAGCCGACTCCTCCTCCGCTGTATCCCGGCAGCAGCGTTAGCAGCAGAGAAGCCGGACTTGCTCAAACGGTCCGCTGGAAAACCGAAGATCAAGGACGTGGCGACGCAGCCCTGCCACGGCAACCGCTTGTGGGCAAACAAATCAGTCTCCAGTGTGCCGCTGTCCAGCAACCTCAAATCGGTAGGGGAAGGGGGGCGGACACGACTCTCGGCAGTATTTTGAATTTGAGTGCAGTAACCGATTTGGCCACATTCTTACATACGGTGCCTTTAAGAAAGTTTTCTGGCCAAACACTTTACATTTGAAAAATGAACTATTAAATGAAGCTGATTTCTAAATTACCTCAACATCTTTGACATTTCTGTGCTATGGATAGGTACAAGTAACAACTTAATTAAGCATCAGACACAAACTTGCTTGATATTTCTTTTTCCAATTTTGTCCTTTTTTTTAAACATTAAGTATACAATGATTGTGACCGCACAAGATGTTACATATAGAAAAGGATGCCGCCTTTACACTGAAATCACTGGATGCTGGCTACCACTGATCCTTACTGCACCCATCGCTGTCATCTTTACCAAAAGGGTGGTATGCCACATTGGCTGTGGGACACGACCGGCATTGGTTTTTATCTATAAAGCCTTGATACAGATGCTCCCACCCTATATTTCGTCCCTTTTACCTCTGAGATCACATCATCTTGGCACTTGCTCACAGAATAAGTTGTTGCTCCACTTTCCCTTAATCAAAACTACAGTAGAAAAAAAGTCTGGTTGTCTGTTGATCCTAACTTAGTTTAGGATGCTTATTGAATGTTTTGGACTTCTGTCTCTGTTCATGCTCGACATTATTGAAAATAAGGATCACCCTTCTATTGATTCCCCAAGTCTTTAAGGTTTGAAATACATGCATGTTTGGAAAAAAAACATGTTGCCAGTTAATTTTGTGTCAACTGACTTCTCGATTAATTGTTTTGGCTGATTGGTGGGCTCTACTTTGCTCTTCTAGTCTCCCTGTGGAACATACAGTTAAAATGTTAGAAGTTATTGATTGTGTTTATATTAATTATAACTGAACTTTTTATAACAAATGGAGAAAAGCTAAAGTAAATGCAGCATTCCTGTCATACAAAAATTCCTCTGTAATGAGACCTGTTGGCGGTATTTCTTACCTTTAAACCAGGGTTACAGAAGTATTAATAATTACCCATGTACATTCTCTAATTACCGTGATAACAACTTGAGATCACATTGTGGAGCTATATGCTTGTGGTTTCCATGGATGGGGCAGCAGGAGACACAGCTAGTGTAGTTCATTATGACCATCAAGCAGCTTTTCTTTCTCAGACAGGCTAATGACTCCAGTGATTGTATGTGGGTGGCTACCAGTGGGAGCTGCTCTGAGTCTAATGAGTTTGGTCAAGCTGACCTTATCCTGAGCAGAGCGGTCTGATGGCTCCATCTTTCCTATGACACTATTACTGCCGCCTGACTAACTGACTGACAACAAGGTATTGAGCTGTACCCTCTCTCGGCTGACAAGAAAAAGACCGAGCCTTACAGTAAGTGTACGTGTTCATATAAGCATGTTTTCATATTAACACATCGCACTGCTACATGCTGGCAGATGCTGCCGGTGGCCTCTAAATCTGTTTAATCTTGATGATGTCACATGTGACCGTGATTTGATTTTTGTTTTGTAAATAATTTTGGCTTGTCTCCTATGCCTCCTCTTGAAGCACAGATGGGGAAAAGCAGTAAAGGATGGAGAGACGCACCTTCCTCGTCTATCCACTTCATGGTGAAGAGCTGGTCATTGTCCATGGAGCACATGTCCTTCACCTCGCCATACAGACCCTCGTATGAGATGGACGGCTCAAAATGAGTGATCATGATGTCCCTGCAGAGAAGACAAATGTAGATCAAGTATATCATTTGACTTTTGGCGACCACTCTGGGTACACAGACCCAATGCGTGGTGCATATCAGTCACATTCCTTCAGTCACGAGTCACTGGTTCAGTTTCATCAATGCTTCATAAGACCAACAGCAAACCCTGTTACACGCTATATGTGAACAGGTTCGGCAAAAAATGGCAGCACTGGTATCAAATCAGTACTCGGCAGATACCAAAAGCTGAGGTAAGGGAATTGGCACAAAGAGAGAAAAAAATCAGATCATCACTGATACCAAGGGCAAAAAAAATGAGCACATCACAAATTTGTTGTACAAATGTTAAAGCAACAAATGCCATGCCAAACATATGAAGTGTTTGTTTTTAGACAGGGAATTCATTATTTTTCATAGTCTATGGCGGAGGATATTGAGGAGCTTCTAGGGCTGAACAATTAATTGAAAATGAGAATGATGTAAAAATTTGTGTTCCCTCTGTTATAAATAATCATATCGCAACTGCTATATCATTAAAAATAATCGCAATTAGGTATTTCTTCCAAAACTGTTCAGCCCTATAACTGACTTTTTTTAAGCATACAATTTAACATTCACAAACAACATACAGATTTTACGTAAAAAATCTTTATTCTTCCCACAATTTCATGTGTTTCCCTCAACAAAAACAGTGTCTGGTTTTTAATCTGAAGTAGTGTTCTAAAACCAAATATCAATTTACTGATTATGAATATTTAAAAAGGTGTTAACACTTATTTTCCGCAGTATCGACACACCGGTACCAGCTGCAGTTTCTCACTCACTCTTACTGTTAATGTTTACTGAAGTCATTCTGCTAGTTTGCTGCTACTAACCAAAAAGGAAAAGTCCTTGTTATATTCATCTTTTAATAAAAAATAAATGTAATTGTATGCCCTTAATGTCAATGTTCATGGTACTGAAAATGGTCTTGAAAAATCAGCGTGTTTCAAGGTATTGTATCGAAGGTAGAAATTCTAGTATGATGACAAGACTAATTTTAATTAGTGAAATAGACTGTCAGGCAACTAATAATGAAGACACACTCCATAAACACCTAAACATACTAATTAAATATTGTTAACAGGGCTGCAACTGCTTAATATTTTCATTATTGATTAGTTTACAAAATGTCATATGCCAATTACAATTTCCCACACGCTAAGGTTACATGTTTAAAATTCAGACAGACATTCGATTCACAATTACGTTAATTTAAACACAATAGGCACCAAGCCAGAAGACTATTTAGTATTTTTGTTTGACAACTAAGTTAATCCATTAATTGCTAATGTTAGACATTAACATCAAACACTGTTTCTGTTGCACTCAAAGAAAAACTGGAGAGCACCAGACTTTTGATGGAGAGAAAAAGAGGTGAGAAAGCGTCTTTTTCCCCCCCAAACGCTGCTGTGTGTGAGTCACAGTCTCGCAGTCTGTCACATTTATGTGTGCATTCATCTGTACAGCACGACTGTGGGTGTGAGAAAGAATGCAAAGAAAAAAACAGAGCGAGAAAGACTGAGAAAAGAGTGAGTGAGAGAGCCACACACACTAAAGTCGAATGAATCACAGGCGACTGTAGTTGTAGTTGTATTGTGACCGCTTTGGTTACTGTCCACCGCTGCACTTCATCACTTCCTGGGAAGCAGTCAAAACACTTGACTTGCTGCTCTTAATCAACAAGTACATCACTCTCTGCCTCTGCAGTTCACAAATGCAGTCAAACATTATGGTGAGCCATGAGAGAGGAAGGAGCGCAGTGGTGGGTGAGCAGGAGCATCTATCTCTGTAGGTGGGATCATCTGTCCCTCATCATTTCATGGCGGTGATACGATTGATGTTGCCTGCTTCCAGCCCCTTGGCCAGCCTCTGCGATGTTTACAACCCAGAGATGGGGGATGGAGATGGTACACACATTCGCTTTTACAAGTCTGCAGGCGACAGGGGTCTGAGCATGGTGTGTGAGGAGTGGGGAGACACAATGGGCTAAAATAAAGGGGATAAGCCTGGTAAAGAGGTGGAGTTTAAAAAAGGGAAGTAAAGAGGGGATAATGTGTAAAAGCCGCCCCACTAGCAAGGGAGTGACCCATAAGGACAAGGATCTCTTATTCCCTTTACTGCCACCGTCAAAGATGAACCCAGTTTTTCATCAACTTGAGAGCTTTACAGCAGGATGATAAAATCCCAACACATGGAGCACACAGCGCACACTTTGAAGGACATCTCCTGGACAAGTCCAAGGATAGCGTATAGGATGTAAGGTCACTGTAGGGTCAGTTATTGCCAGGAGCAAACACGCACAAATAGCACCAGACTGTGATTTACTGGCTGGTATTTCAGTTTCACATTTATGCGTCTGAAGAGTGCAGCTTCCTTCCGCACAGCATGTATTAAACTGTCTTGACTGAAAATCACACTTCAAGAATGAATAAAGCATTTTGAGCAAGAATAAACTGACGTAAGTCTCAGACTGATGCCTCTTCCTCCTTCCTCCTTCTCTTTTCTCACCCTCTTCCTCCATCCTGCTGGTGTTAATCATTGCCTGTGAGGGGGGGGGGGGGATTGGCAACTACACTCCTCTAGGACCAGTAAGGCAGCTCTACTTCCTCCTAAAGCCCTGATAACATCAGAAGATAGGCAGCGTATGAACATACACTAACACACAGTGCACTAAAGGTTCCCACGCTGTGACTGTAGACAATCCAGGTGACGTATTTATGCCAGCAGGTGACTTAAATGCGTCACGTGTAACTGGACCTGAGCTGTGGTTGTTCATTAAACACTGTATGTGTGTCTACACAGTAGTTAAAGCTTAGCCACGTCTCAGGTGCCTCAAACAACATCCTCTGTGACACAGATACAAGCTCAGCTAATGGCTACAGCAGTTACAGGAAAGTGGCAGAGACTACAAAGCCATTATGAGAACCAGGAACACAACTTTCACCAAGGGTTGTTCATTGTTTTAAACCAAATCAGGTTTATTTATATAGCACTTTTAAAAACAACCACAGTTGACTGTTAACTGGAGGGCTGTACAAATGAAAGTAATCGGCACACAATTAGTGGTTTAAAGTTTTAAAAGGCACAATTACAACAGTAAATGGCAAATCTGAAACAGAAACAGAATAAAACTGGGAAGATACATATACATATCTAAAGATCATAAAATTGAAAGTACTTAGAGCAACTTAAGTTCATTGAAAACATGGTTGTCTTAAGATTTGTCTTTTAAGCGTCTTTGAATTTTTAAGCTACCATTTCATAGGTTTTTTCTTGCTGTGTTGTAGAACTGAATCAAGAAGTCGACCAACAGAAAATAACTTGAAAACAATATTTAAAGTCATTTAATTAAGCATAAAATGCCATATATTTGCTGGTCCCAACTGCTCAAATATGAAAATTTACTGTTAAACTGAAACAACTTGGCAATCGACAGAAATTTAATCAGCAAGTAATTATTTTGCTCAATCTTTCTAATCAACTTTCAAACAAATAATGTTACAGCTGATAAAATTTGATTTGGTGTTTCTTGTCATATCTTTGAATGTGTCACTTTTGGGCTCTGGAAAATTGCTAACTATTTTATGAAAGGTTACACAAACAAAGCAGCTAATTCTGTAAATTCAATATCTTTTGGATAGGCAGAGAATTTGGGCATTTCTCACATTTTTACATCATTTCTTACATTACAGATACAGTTGGTGACTTATGAAAATATAATTTTGTGTCATATCTGCTGAAACTGTCACAATATTCTGAAAGACACACATGAAACGGTCTGCGAAACAAAAGATCATGTCCCTCCTCCTATCTAACTGCTTCTAATGGTATTGGCTAGAATCAGTCCGCATCTCAGTTATCAACAACTAATCAGCTGATCCGGCTGGGCGGTGCTTGGCATATCCATTTAACTGTGTCATATGTAGTGGCCGGGTCATCCACTTTCTCATTTTACAGCTAAACTGTGCACTAAAATATGTTTCTGAAAACATCTGAGGGGAGAAAGAGGAATTGCAGTAACAGAATCTTAATTCATATTTCATCAGCACGGTCTAGTTTGACTGAAATTCACGAGCAGTGAATAAAACTGTTGACAGCTGCTTTCGAGACTTCTTGGCTCTGATTGGTTGTTCTTCATTCACATACAGTTAGGCCATTAGAAACGCTACAAGGCGATAGAGCAGGCAGAGGAATATGATTTTTCACAAATTATCTGTCTTATTTAGCGCTATATGAATATAGGGACAATTTCAGCAAATATGAAAACTTTGTTTTATAAAAGTTACCAACTGTAGCTTCAAATGACTAACTGAAAAAATATCCAACAAGCTTATTGATAATTAATATAATCTTGAGTTGCAGCTCTGCCTTACAGCACATTTTCTCATTTGTAATCTCAGCCCCACCGATAGAAAAGGTATAGTTTCTTGATGTGTCTTTACAAAACTAAATAATGACTAGAAATAATTAGTCAATTAATGGAAAAGTTGATCAGCAGAAAATTTACACTGGCAACAATTTTGATCATTGGTTGATAAGGTCATTTTTTAAAGGAAACAATGTCAAGAATTTTCTGGTTTTAGCTTCTCAAGTGTGATACTCTGCTGATTTTCTTGGATGTTAAATGGAATACTTCTGGGTTTTGGACTTAAGCTTGGACAAAACAGGCCATTTTAAAATGTCATCACAGATTTTGTGATAGCCTCTAATGTGCATTTTTCACTGTTTACTGACAGTTTTTAAGGCCCAAACAGATTAATCACGACACTGCTTGTTTGTTGGAGCCCTAATGATGACTGGACCAAACTTAACTTAAGTGAAAGTGATCATATTTATCCAACTAGGCTGATGAGCAGGCAGCTGTTTGATGATTCTGTGCTGCTTCCCTCGATTTGGGAAATCCTTTGGACAATAGTGGCAAGTGCACTTTGAAACCATTAATACCACATTATCCAACAGATTAATCTA